AATCTACAGGAAGTTGTAGGGAAACGTCCTGGGAGGTGCCGCGCACCCACCTGTCGTCTTGCGTGTCTGTAGTGCAGGGTCCAGACCAGGAAGTTGGTGTAGATACGATCCAGAGCTTGTTCAGGTTCATCCAGGACGCACGCGTGTCGTGTGCGCAGCTCTGTCACGGGTGCAGCTCTGGGTAACTCACTGCCATGTTCAAGGTGCAGACCCGTACCTCGCCCCAGGCGCCCCCGTGCTGCCACTCATGTGCTCTCCAGCTCTGCGATTTCGTTATTTTATGAATGGAATCACACAGAATGTGACCGTTTGAGATTGACCTTTTTTTCCCCTCTTAACGTAATTCCCTTGAGATTGCATACATGTTGTTGCCTGAACAGTAGTTTGTTCCTTTTTATTGATGAGTAGAATTCCCTGGTATAGATGTATCATAGTGTGTTTAACAATTCACCCGTTGAAGGACATTTGAATATTTCCAGTTTTTGGTTATTTCAAATAATACTGTTGTGAACACACATGTACCAGTTTCTGCCTGAACAGAAGTTTTCATTTCCCTGGGTCAGCGCCCAAGAGTACAATTGCTGGGTCATTTGGTAGATTCATCTTTACTTTTTTTTTTTTTAATTTTATTTATTTATTTATTTTGGCTGTGTTGGGTCTTCGTTTCTGTGTGTGGGCTTTCTCTAGTTGCGGCGAGCGGGGGCCACTCTTCATCGCGGTGCGCGGGCCTCTCACTGTCGCGGCCTCTCTTGTTGTGGAGCACAAGCTCCAGACGCGCAGGCTCAGTAGTTGTGGCTCACGGGCCTAGTTGCTCTGAGGCATGTGGGATCTTCCCAGACCAGGGCTTGAACCCGTGTCCCCTGCATTGGCAGGCAGATTCTCAGCCACTGCCCCACCAGGGAAGCCCTTCATCTTTACTTTTAAGAGAAACTGCCAAACTATTTTCCAGAGTTGTGTGTATCATTTTGCATTCCCACCAGCAGCGTGTGAATGATTCATTTCTTCATTTCCTTGCTAGCATTGAATGTTACCACTGTCTTTAATTTTAACCATTTTGATATGCGTGTAGTGCTGTGTCATTGCGGTTTTAATTTGTGTTTCCCTAATAACTGTTGATGTTGAACATTTTTTTAAGTGCTTATTTGTAGGAAAGCCTTTTTTTTTTTTTTTGCGGTACGTGGGCCTGTCACTGTTGTGGCCTCTCCCGTTGCTCCAGATGCGCAGGCTCAGTGGCCATGGCTCACGGGCCTAGCCGCTCCGTGGCATGTGGGATCTTCGCGGACCGGGGCACGAACCCGTGTCCCCTGCATTGGCAGGCGGACTCTCAACCACTGCGCCACCAGGGAAGCCCAGGAGAGCCTTTTTTAAAATTAAAAATTACAAATCACCTTTTCTGATTATGAAAGTAATACTGTGTATATCACAGAAAATTTACATAAAGAAGAAAATGATTATTGTCTATAATTCTGCCACCTTCAGATAATCACTGTTAACATGTAGCATTTTGTTCCAGCCTTAAGAGTTTTATTATTTTTAAAAACAAAATGGAGATTGTAACGTTTATATTACCTTATAAGTTTTTCTGTCTTAACGTGCTAGACTTTTCGGGACCATTAAATTCGGTCTCTGAAGCTTTTTTTTTTTGGCTGCACCACGTGGCATGCAGAATCTTAGTTCCCCAGCCAGGGATCGAACCCTGTGCCACCTGCAGTGGAAGCACGGAATCTTAACCACTGGACTGCCAGGGAAGTCCCTGGTCTCTGAAGCTTCTAAAAAATGTTTCTAGCCTTTGCTTACTGTAGTTCCGCATCTAAGAATTTGTCCTAAGAGAGTACTCAGGAAGGAATCAGGGAGAGTCTTGTTGACAGAGGGTGTCAGTGACAGCGTTTAGTTTATGGCAGTGAACAGCTGGAGATAGCTGAGCTGTCCTCCAGCAGGGCAGCATTCAGCTGGCGTCCACTTAGCCATTTATCGCAGTCTGTCTTCAAGCAGTTATTAACTGAACGTCTGGTGTGGCAGAGAGCCGCACAGCAGGGCAATTAGGGGAGGACCCCGGGAACCTGCCGGGTGGCTGAGTGCACTGAGTTGGCCAGAGTAGGGATCACTGCATGACGCATGGCAGTGTCAAGACGACAGGACCCCATGTGGGCGAGGCTGTGGCCGTGGCCTGGCAGCGAAGGGCTGGGCCAGGTGGAGGGACCCCGAGCCGGGGTGGGGTGGGGCGCTTGTCCTGAGAGGCACTCACAGTTTAGAACTGTGCGGAGGGGCCGTGCGGCTGTGCATTTAGTTTGGAAGCAGAGGGGGAAGGGTAAGGGGCGAGCCTTGGTGGGAGGTGGCGATGGGCCCAGGGAGGGAGGAAAAGAAGGGGTGAGAGGGCGGAGAGGTAGCGTGCTTTCCTCTCTTCCCACCAACAGTAAAGCACTGCTTTTGTTTTCAGCTCTGGAGCACATACCTTAACACTAAGCAAGATTGTGCCACATATATGTAACCTGCTCGGAGATCCAAACAGCCAGGTGAGTGTATTTAGTGAGAAAGAGAAATCATTGGCTGTAGACAGTGAGGGCACATTTTGGTTCTGGGTGGGACTTTATTTCTCTCTCTAAAGCTCGGGGTGTTGGTTGACGTGATGGGTGTTGTTAGTGCCCAGTAGCATTTATCAGCGTCTTTGGTGGATGGGGGCCCGCTTTGCCCTCTTCTCCACGTTGGGATGGGCCCTCACTAGCCTGTAAAGTGATGTCATCAGAGCAGCCTCCAAGAGAAGGCACTCTGGTCACCATCTCTGCAGCTAGAGGGGTGGGTGTGGGGAGGGAGCGACGGTGATGGCGGAGCAGCGGCCCCCTTCTGGGGTGGGAGAGGTGGGCTGGACAGGGCCTGCGGGGGCCTCTCGGAGGTGACAGAGAGGGCCCACGTTTTGTTTTGGGCGGTGGCCACATTGGTGCATATAACTGTGGAAACACTTCAGACTGACCTATGCATGTTATTCTGTGTAAAGTAAAACAAAACCCCAAAACGTCAAAGCACCACTTCCCTGGTGTAGGGTGGGTGACTTCAGACTGACCTATGCATGTTATTCTGTGTAAAGTAAAACAAAACCCCAAAACGTCAAAGCACCACTTCCCTGGTGTCAGGGTGGGTGGGTGGGGCTTTGCTAAGCAGTGAGCAGGCAGCCTGGGCCCCGGAAGTGCCAGTTCTCTCCCAGGTTACTTCTGGTTATCACCCAGAGCCCTGTCTGTCACGTTGGCTCACACACCTGGTTAGATGAGGGGCTGAAAATAGGAACAGTAACTCACAAAAGAAATGTACACCTGCCCGTTGAACGGCATGGGATCAGAGTGTGCAGGTGCACCGGTAGGTGGCTGTTCAGTAGGAAACACCGCGGTACTGCGTGGCCCCTGGTGGTCTGGATCCGGCAGATCTGTGGATGCCTGGAGGGTTGGCGGCCCCCCTCCCCGCGCAGTGTTCAGGGGTCGACGGTACATGATGGACAGCATCTCACTGTCAGTCTTGGCTGGCGATGGCTATAGTGCCCTCCGTAGATGACTCTGCTCTCCCTCCACAGCCCCCAGCTTAGCTCCGAGGGCCCTTGGGTCGGAGAGCCTCCTGTTCCGCATCCTTTCTCCCTTCTCATCTCTGCCCTTGATCCCGGCTGTGTTTCCCGCTTCCTCTTTGGTGCCCTGCTGCACTCCCTTTCCCATCGCCGGCCGCTCCTCCTGCCTTCTCGCTCGCTGCCGGCCTGTGTCCCTGCTCTCCCTCACCTGCACCCACTTGCTTCTTTCCGTGCATCCTCTATCCAGCCTTCACTGAAAATATCTGACGTTGGAAATTTGAGTTTTAGATATTTTTATTTCCTGGATCATACTTTATGTTCATCATCAATTTGAAAATAACTGAAGCTACTTTGTATTTTTAAATTTTTTGGCCACACTGTGGCATGTGGGCTCTTAGTTCCCGGACCGGGGACCGAACCTGCACCCCCTGCATTGGAAGCGTGGAGTCCTAACCACTGGACCGCCAGGGAAGTCCCTAACTGAAGCTACTTTTAAAAAAGATTCTGAATTACCAGATGGACTATTTTGCCTTTTTGCCCCCTTAACGTCTTGTCTCCACTTTGTTTTCTGTGGAAAAAAGTCCTTTATGGGGGTCACTCCTTGAGGCTGTCACTGCTACCACGTGGCCCCTTCGGTAGAGCAGCAGAGCCAGCTAGGCTGGTTGAGGCTCTTTGTTCCTCACTCGGGTGCCTGCACTGGCCTGACAGGTGATGTGAGTATCCCTGCCGGCCTGAGAGGCAGCGTGCCGGGGTGAACGAGGCCGGGCTCAGTGGGCGGCTGTCAGCAGTCCAGAGTGGCAGCGCCTGTAGCCAGTTTTCCACACTGAGCATCGGAGTCCTTAGGAGTGTTTACCCGCACGTGTGCGCGTGTGCAGACACAGACACGCGGGCCTCACATCCCCGCACCGGGGGCTCCACGCCCGCTCCTCTGATGCTAAATAACCCACTTAATCATCCTTCCTTCTAGGGTGCGTGTGTATGTCGCGTGTGCTTGTGCTCCAGACTTTATTTTCATTTTCTCGTCAGTCTTTCCTGCTGGTCTCTGAACCTTGAGGGTCAGGACTACCCCTCTCTCTTTATCGTCCCAGGACTGCCTTCCAGTGGCCTTAGGACTGAGTAGACTCCCCATGGCTACCTGAGCAGTGTTCCCCTCTTAGCCATGGATGCCTCAGGCCAGAGAGGACAGTTGTGTGTTTTGCTGGTGCTGTCACTGCACTGGGCCCCTGACCTTGTGGTCGGCTTCCATCCAGCTCTCAGTCTTCTGCGGGGGTGAGTGAGTGAGTGAGTGAGTGAGTGAGTGTGTGTGTGTGTGTGTGTGTGTGTGTGTGTTGAGCCCCGCAAACCCTCCTGCCCCAGAGGCTGTGAGTCCTTTGGCACTGGTCTGAGTGCAGAGTGACTCAGCTTCTCAGAGCGGGCGCCCATGCCCAGGCTTTGTGTGGCTCAGGATGCTTTTGGCTGCTGAAAGTAACTCAAAATCCAACTCAGAATCACCAGAGCAGTGGGGAAAATGTATCATCCCCTGTATAGGGGGGGCCCAAGGTAGGGAGGCCCCAGGGCCTGTTATCGGCTCAGTGATGTCCCCAGGACTGCACGTCCCGCTCCACTTCTGCTGGGCTGCCCACCCCCTGGACTTTGTCCTCTGTAGCTCTGCTCACAGGCCCTGCATGGTACAGCCCAGCTGCACGCATGTCTCGCATGCCTGGCAGATGAAAGCCCGGTGTTCCTATGTGCCTCTCCTGTTTTCAGCTTTTCTAGATTGAAAGGTTCAAACGGAGGTAGACGTGGAGAGAATGACGTACAGCATCCCCTTGGGCCCGTCCTCTGGCCTCAGCAGCTGACCAGACGAGGCCAGTTTACTTTCATCGTTTTCCCTCCCCAACCCCATTGTTTGGAAGCAAAATGTAGATTATTTTGAAGGAAATCTTAGACATTGGTTCATTTAATTCTTAAATACTCTAAAGGGTAAGGGCTCTCCACCCCGCAAGCCTCCTACATAACCTTAACACCATTATCACCTCCTGTCCCTCAAGAATGCCTGATTCTCTCATGTCATTAAGTGCCCAGTCCACATGCACGTTTCCCTGAGTGTCCCTGCATTTACCCGCTTTCGCAGAGTGGACGGGGGTCTTCCGGAAGTTTTGCTTATTTTCCCTGTCGTGTCTCGTTGTGAGAGCCGCATCCTGTGCCGCGGTGTTAGCCCGCTGTCAGGGAAGGGACCAGGATTATGGGGTGGCTTTACACTCGGGACACTTTATCTCCCAAGCCGAGAACAGGGCCAGGGAGGACGGGGCCGGGGCGTCCGAGACACCTGCTCAATGGGGAGCCCCTTTGTCAGATAAGGAGAACTCCAGTTCTGCCTGCAGACCTCTGACTTCATAGCTGCTCAGCTGGCCTAGGGCAGGCAGCGGTCGCCTCCGCAGGGCCTCCCTCTGCTGCCTGCCATCTGTTTTGCTGAGGAGTTTGGTCCGCATCTTCAGAGTCTAGAAGCATCTTGGGGTGTCTGAGGGGCCGGCACTGATCTCAGAGCTCTCCGCAGCTGGCCCTGGGCCCTGGGCTGGCTTAGTGGGGAGGGGCAGGGGAAGGAAGCCCCCTCAGAGGGTTTGACTGGCACCTGAGGAGTGGGCGGGTCTGAGACATCCTCTCTGTGGGCGGGTGGCTGTGGGGACAGGGTGGCTTTGGCCTCGAGTGGGTTTCTGGGTGCCCTCCCTGTCCCTGGGGGTGAAGTTCCCTCTGGAGTTTCTGCTGTGTAGGGAGCCCGTTCCTGGTGCCCACGTTGGGGTGCAGCGTGGCGCAGTGAGGTGACCGTGGGCCCTGACAGGTGGCCAGCCCGCCAGGCTCTGCCCTCCTCTGTGTCACAGTCAGCAGTGGCCCGGTGAGCGAGGTTGTTGATTTGAAGGCCTAAGGCTCTCTAAAGGCTTCGGCCAGGGCCCGGCAGGTGGAGCTTAATGTACGGGCCCTGGTCTTTTGCTGTCCTGGTGGCCTGAGCTCTTGGGGTCATTTGCGTGGTGAGCCTGCGGGTGGGCAGAAGCACGTGGGGCCCCCGTGGCGGCCTGTGGAGGGAGCACTGCGTGGTCCCTTCAGCCCGAACCGACTTGCTTTGAGGGGACGCCCCTCCTCAGTTGGGCTGCGATACTTTAGTGCAACAGACAATCTGTTCTTCTGTGATTCTTGAATCAAGGGTCGTTTAGATCCTCAGATGCTCCCTGGCCCTGTAGCTTTCTAAGCCTGTGGAATAGCTGTTTAAAGCCTAAGGTTGCTGGTCTGAGAGATGTAGATGATACCAGTCCCACCGGCCACTGTGCTGAGTGCTTTATGCATATAAACACGGGGCACAAACCGCTGGCCTGTGTCTGTGCACATACATGTGTCTGCAGGATGACTTCACTTCACGTGTGGAGTTTGGGTTTGCGAGTTGACATTTGGGAGGCGCGTTTCCGAGCTTCCGCAGAAGAGTGAAGGTGGGGCAGAGCTGTACCTGTGCTCCACGGCTACATGTTGGCGGCCGCCTGCCCGAGGCTGGGCATCCCCCTTCCCCCGCCAGCGGGTCCCGGGCTGGGGCCATTGGTCATCGTGCACCCACCCTGCTCCACGCATCATGTTACCTGCCTGGGCCGTGTAGCTCCCCCAGTTTGACGCGTAATAGGCAGTCAAATATTTGTTGAATTGAATCCGTTTTTTTTTCTTTCTATTATTATTATTATTATTATTATTTTTGCGGTACGTGGGCCTCTCACTGCCGTGGCCTCTCCCGTTGCGGAGCACAGGCTCCAGACGCGCAGGCTCAGCGGCCATGGCTCACGGGCCCAGCCGCTTTGTGGCATGTGGGATCTTCCCGGACCAGGGCACGAACCCGCGTCCCCTGCATCCGCAGGCGGACTCCCAACCACTGCGCCACCAGGGAAGCCCTCTTTCCATTATTTTTTTTAATCTCAAAGCAGCCTTCCACTTACGAAGGAGAAAATGGACACTAAAAGAGTTTAAAACACAGCATTGTAAAGCAGTTGTACTCCAGTAAGGATGTATAAATGAATGAATGAATGGAAGAGTTTAAATGCTTTGTCCAAAGTTACGGCAGCCTCTAAATGGCCATGTAAGTCCTCAGGCCTACTTTGACTCTAAGGCTAGTAATTTTATTAATTGATTGGATGAATGAATGAAAGATTCTTCAAATTCTATAGCGCTTTACAATTTCAAAAGTTTCACATGTGATTTCATATAATCTCATAATAACCCCATTTCCCCTACCCCAATATTGCCCCTCCCCCCTTCTCTCTGCCCACTGGCAACCACTACTACTTTGTTCTCTATATATGAGAGTCTCTCTCTTTTTTGTTTTATTCAGTAGTTTGTTGTGTTGTTTAGATTCCACATATAAGCGATATGTTCCAGTATTTGTCTTTCTCTGTCTGACTTATTTCACTTAGAAGACTAGTCATTTCTCCACTAAATCCCTTAAACTCTTCATAGCCCAGACTTTGTAAGTAGCAGACAGGGTATTGATTGCTCTTTAAAGGGGGTCCCCAGTGTGATCTGCTCTGGCTCTGAGCAGACGTCATCACTAGAAAGTAAGCAACGGCGATGCACTTGTCACTGATCCTCAAGACAGGGCATTGACTGCTTTTGTAAGATGTGCATGTTTCAATATGGAAATGTTTGCTAACATCGGAAATTATTTCCTTTCCAAAATAATCTCTGTTAGTCAGCTCAGGCTGCCGTTACAAAATACCATAGACGGGAGGCTTAAACCATGGAAGTTTGTCTCATGGTTCTGGAGGCCGGCAGTCCCGGAACAGGGTGTTGGTGTGGCCGCACTCTCCTGAGGGTTCTCTTCCTGGCTAGCAGACACATAGAGCTGTCTGGTGTCTCTCTTATAAAGACGCCCCTCCTATTATTATCAGGACCCACTCTTACGACCTCATTTAACCTTAACTACCTTCTTTACAGGCCTGTCTCTAACTGCCATCATCAACATATGAATTGTTTCGGGGGCTGGTGGGTCACACACAGTTTGGTGCATAGCATCAGGTTTTGGGTGAGAAGTAATAAGAACCTAGAATTTGCCTTTTACTATCACAAGGGGGAAAATTGTAAGCAAAATTACCTATCGTATACCGCTGTTAAATCAAAGGGTAACTTGGCAGTGTTCAGAGCTGTAAACTGTTTGTACCCCTGCTTCTTTCCTCTCTGTTTCTTTGCTTTCATTGCTTGAGACCAAATCTGCAATCGTGGTTTTGCTCTCTTGTCTTTGCTGGCTCTCCTCCCCTCGGCACCCCTGGGCACCCCACAGTCTGGCTTTGAGTCCATTGGATTTCAAAACTATTTTTCTTCCCACCTTTTTGTTGGAAAAATTTTATATCTATAGAAAAATGGAAAGGGTAGTATAGTGAACACCCATATTTACCATTTAACTTTTGTCACATTTATCTTATATCTCAACGTGTATACACACATGTGTATACACACACACACATACACAGAAATAGACCTTTCTTCTTGAACCATTCGGAAGTATCTAGCACACGATCTTTTTACTCCTAGGTACTTCAGTGTGTGTCTGCTAACAACAGGGATATTTTTGTGTAATCACATGTTTTCACATCCAAGAAATTTAGCATTGATACAACTATAATGTTTGGTATACACACAGCCCATATTCAGAGTTCCCTCTTCTGTTTTTTTATTTGTGTGTTTTTTTTTAAGTCCATTCTGTCTCTCGAGCCTTACATATCGCGCCCTTTCTTTTCCTATCTGTGTTTGGCCAGACTGCTGCCTTGCTCTTCCTGAAGTGTATGCCTTGCTTCTCTGCTTTCATGCCTCTGCGCAGGCTGCTTACCTTGTTTGGAGCTTGTCTCATTCCATCTTTCCCTGGTAAAATGCTGTGTTTCTAAATACATTTTAAGTGGTTCCTTCCTCTTCCATAAACTGTTTCTTGGTATCCTCTGGTGTGCTGTCTCCCTTCCCTAAACTATGTGAGCTCTTTGTACTCTTTTGTATAACATTTATTACATCCTGCCCTGTGTTAAATGTAGAATTTATGGACTTTTTTTCCCATCTCCCTTTTAGAACTGTGAGCTCCTTGAACGCAGTCTCCGTGTAGCCTCTACCATCCTTTTTTGTTGCTCCCTAAGTATTTATTTGACCTACATCCAGAATGCTTTACATGGTGTTTTATTTTTAGAATAATGCATTTATTTGTAGTGTTTTCTATTTTGGAAAGGTGGTCTGGTTTCCAGACATCGTCTTAAAGGATGGAAAGAACTAAGGGGTGTGGACTTTAGCAGGTACATAGGGATGGGACCTGAATTTTTTCCTCCTCTTTGGAACTGTGCCCACATAGTCAAAGCTGTCAAACACAGCTGTGTCTAGTCCCATGCCCCTTAAGGGTTGTGTTTGGAATCGCGCTGGTGAGTGGGTGATAAACTTGGGGTGTTGTATAGCCTGTTGTGTCCGCAGCAGGAAGTGCTGGGGAATGACACAGAGCAGCTGTAAGATCTCTTCTTTTACATCTAGGTTCGAGATGCAGCAATAAACAGCTTAGTGGAAATTTACAGACATGTAGGAGAACGTGTGAGGGCAGATCTCAGTAAGAAAGGATTGCCACAGTCCCGGTGAGTTCAGACTTTTTTCCTTTCTTCTGCTCTTTCCCCCTGTACTCTTTCTCAGTTAACATCTTGGTTTGCACTGCTTATTTTGTTGTGGTAATTTTACTGAAAGAATATATGGTGAGAGGATCGGTGGATGGAGATCGCACCCAGATCACGTGTCAGGGGCCCCCTTTCATTCCACTTGCTCAAAAGTAAGACTTTCTCACCCAGACGTCTAGCCAGGTCCCCTGCCACATACCAGTTTTAGAAGCATATTTAAAAGTGTTTGGTGTTGGAAGATTCAGCATTCTCTCGGTTCATACGGTTCTACATTTTGTATACGCACGACACCTAGTATAGTAGGGGCTTAGAGAATATTTGTTTGAATGAAGCCTTTCCAGGATGAGTCTGGATAGAAATATATAAGTAATAATTCTGGAAAACATCTTTGAAATGA